TGTGTCTGTCTGTCTATCTGTGTGTGTGTGTGTGTCTGTGTCTGTCTGTTTGTCTATCTGTTTGTGTGTGTGTGTGTGTGTGTATGTCTGTCTGTCTGTCTGTCTGTCTGTCTGTGTCCGTGTCCGTGTGGGTGTGTGTCTGTGTGTGTGTGTCTGTCTGTCTGTCTATCTGTGTGTGTGTTTGTGTGTGTCTGTGTCTGTGTGTCTGTCTGTCTGTCTGTGTCTGTGTCTGTGTGGGTGTGTGTCTGTCTGTGTCTGTCTGTCTATCTGTCTGTGTGTGTTTCTGTGTGTGTCTGTGTCTGTCTGTCTCTCTATCTGTCTGTGTGTGTTTGTGTGTGTGTCTGTGTGTGTGTAATGATACTGATAACGAAAGAGAAATAATGAAACAAAGTAAGAATGGTAAAGACAGCAATAGATAAACAGAGAGAATGTAAACTAAACTTCCAAAGAAAAATAGTATATTTTAAATGTGGAATAATTGGTAATAATTCTTTACCAATACTCATAAAATGAGACAGAAACGATTTTATAGATAAGAAAGCACTTCGAGCACTTTCACAAAACGCGAGGATGGACTATTGCCATTTGTTTTATGCGACATTTCCATGAAATCAAGCCTTAAAGAGATTTGGCACACGTTGACATATCTGCAGTGATGGTAGATGGTAAATACGTTATATTTTAAACAACAATCATAGAGAAAAAACAAAATTATCTTCAGTCAATGTGTGCTGAATGTGTATGTCTACAGCACTTTCACGGTCACGAATTTTTACATTATTTCAATATTGCTTTAATTCACATTACAAAATTTTAGAATGGAAAAATCAAACAAAATACAATTACTTATGTTCAGTTTAACAGGATTCCTCAAACAATGATATTAGCCTAGAATTAAACTAATGATTTACTATGTTTAATGAACAAAATCACATACGCAAAATTTCTCCAATTATCAAAATTGTTCTTATTTACTGTTAGTGGATAAGCAGTCTGTGGAAGTCAAGGACATATCTCCTGTCGACGTGGTTGGATGGATAGGATCTGGTCCTACTGATATCTAGGTCGTGTCATCCACCGGATGCAGATTACACACTAGACATAAATCACACACAGTAATACTCTCGTTCACGCTTAAATAAATTCATTCCTATATAAAGACTAGTCACTGTACATTCAAGCTATAAACAAAATGCAAAATCTCACTCAGAGTTATGACTATTATAAATAATACTAATGGTAATTGGTTTTGTTTTATCTATTAGCTTCGATTCTAACATTATAATGACAATAAGTTTATAATTCACATTTTCATTAGATATGCTATTTATATTTTTGAACTGTATTAACCTATTCATATGACTTGAATAACCAGGAAGTGTATAACTATTAGGGATACAGTTTGTAGCCCGTGAATATCAAGTTTAAGTCTATAATCCATAAACTTAAATCATTGATCATGGATCAACAATTCTTTACTCAGAACCTACACACGTAATGAAACTGAACACAGGATAAAACCATTAAGCGAAGTCCTTTTTTAAGTTTAAAGGAACCAAAACATACTGTAGCAGGTCTTCTCGTTTTACTGTTTCTGTCTAACCATTTCCTGTAGAGAAATTTTTTCTGTCGTCTACGAGTTCGGTGGTCCATGTCTCTAACCGCACTCCTTTTCCTTTCAGACAGTATTCTTCAGAGCACTTTTCGTTTCAAAAGTTCTAATAAAATAACACAGCAAAACATATTTTGGTACAACTTTTCTAAATTCATCGGAAAACCCCTGATTTATTTCCATGGAATCGAATGAGGTTTAAACTACTTTTTCTTTATCTAACAATTTATTTAAAAATTCGCCAATTGCTCATATATTTATATTTAAACTATTAGGTACGTTACATAATTAGTAATTTCGTTTTTCCATGGCACACGTGTACCTTTTTTTCTTGTGAATTCATGCAAAATTATACGATAATTCTGGGCTTATTTGTCTCCTTAGTCGACCTCTTTGTTTCCTTTACAACTGGCTTTAATAATATTTGATTAAGTAACATAGTTAATAAGCATTATTATGAAAAAATTACACAATAAATACATCACGTCTTTTAAAAATGATCAGTTCATATGGTACGTACAAAACTGAAAGCAATTTTACGAAGTGAGAAACCGATCGGTTGAATTTTTAAAATTAATCACTGAAATATGTTTGTCCATAACAATAGTGATTGGATTGAAAGGAGAGATGGAACATGTAGATAAATAATTTTATGTAAGAGGTTTTTTGGCCTTCTCAATATTTGTTGGCTTTTTACCTTAAAAACGAGCAGCAATTGCAATGAGCAATGTGTTTTAGATTTAAAAAGTATTTTAGAGTAGGTAAGTGCCTAATTTTTTTTGCAACCGTTAAGTCTTCATTTTTAGGCAGCGATTTCTTTGGAAAATTCTGATCTCCGTCTAGTTTATCGAAGGAGGCACAGGGTTATCTTTGTCAAACTGAGATAGGTTATCATTTTAAGGGAAATTGTATCAACGTCAGCTTGGACTCCACTTCACATGAATTATTAAAGAAAAACCAAAATAACTTTGCACCAAGCGAATTTTATAATGAAACAGCATATTTTGCCTGAGAAAATTTTTTCTATTTGCATAAAAAGTTTATAATCCGTGAAAGCTTAGTCATGAAGAGACCTAGTCACTCTACACCACTCCTGAGTCCTTGGCGAAACTGGATAACAAGATGCTTTTCAGATTTTGCAAGCTATCCACTTTGTTATAAACGGCGTGGCTATTTAGTTTTATATAACTGTTCACTATTATAATATTTTAGTAACTTCATGCATTTTGATCCTATTAATCAAGAAGTTTCCAAGCATAAAATGTATACCCATTGTATAAAAAATTGTTTAATTTTTTTCTTACCACTCTACAGGTTTTAGATTATACCCTATCCAATTCTACATAAACTTCTATCATTGACCATTGGCCATGTAGACTTTTCATTATCAACCAATAACCAGATTCATAGGTTCAACATAAGTGCTCGTTTTAAACTTGTAGAGTCATGTAATTACACATAATTCACTTCACTTCATACTTCCTGTTCGTAAATTATTTATTTCATAACAAAGCCTCTTCCTGGAATTAATAATGAAAAGCGGATAAATTGATGAATTTTATCATTTTATATAAGATATATAATGTGATAATACAATCTGATTTTTCATGTTTTCTTCTTCAACGATTATAGGGTAGTTTTATTGTTAAATTTTCTTACATGGCCGTAACATAGTTTTAAAAAGCACTGAGTTCAAACCTTAAAAAGGCCAACAATGCTAATGTAACTAATTACGTTGATGATAAACTACAAATTATTCATTGTTTTGTTGTTCTGTTTCTTATTGATTTGTTGTCACTTGGTTCGCAACGAATCTGTTTGAAAACTTACGTGTTATTTGGTAAAGAAATATGACAATTTGAGCTGCATGATTATTTTGGCTAAAATTTTAAAAATTTTAGATGGATCAAAAATCTTTGTAACAAAATCCTTAATGCCTACAATTTTTAAAAGTGAACTGTCGATACCAGGACGTTTGTAAATAAATAATGGTAAAATAATAAAATTTGGAAATTAAACAGAACTGAGGACAATTTAATACCTAGTTCGGTCCTGAAGTACTTCAGAACTTAATTCAGCCAAAACTAGCTTTTTCTTGTTATGGAAGGTTCAACAGACGAGCGTCAAACGCCATTCTTGAGTTCAAGAAATTTTATATTACATACTAATAAAATTTATATTCATTACGTGCCTGCATCAGGCAGTGCAATCAGTACAATTACGATGACGTACTGTGTAAGGCTATAAAATCGATGTTATCAATCAAGGTCGATAACCCCTCCAATCGTAAACCGTCATCCATTATTTCTCGTGATCATGGTAAAATTAACAATAAAGAGCAAGGTGAGGTAAATTTTCCTGACAAAATTGTTTTTACCACCGTCTCACTCGTGTCTTATCTTCAAACACATCAACGTAATTGTTTTCAAGAAACACGTAACAGTTTAATCGTAATTTAAAATTATGACTTGTAGGCTCAGTACGAGGATTGGGTTATCCTCAAATCCCCCCTCTCTTTTATTGATCTCAATGAAAATGTTTTGATATGCAATTAAGATGTATAGTCGTCATGTTTGAGAGTACACTGCCTCTCTATCCGTGGCCCCCTCTCGCCGTCTCACTCCCTCTCATTTAATTCTTCAATTGATGTAAATTGCCAGAAGCAAATCTTTAACAGGGGTCAATTGCATCTAGGAAACACAGGGAAGGGGTAAAGGGGAGAGTTGTAGAAAACATAACATTAATATTAATTTTTTGAAACACTTTAATATGTTCATGATTTTACATAAAAAGATAGTTCGCAATTATGTTGACTCAAGTTTTCTTTTTTATCATTTAGGCATATTATTGTGCTCAACTAAACGGTTCATAAATAAACATCGTACATAAAAAAATTTATCAGATAATTAATAAATAATATATAATAAATACAAATAAAAAAGACAGCTTATACAACATAAAATAATATATCATAATGATAATAGTGAATACAACTTTTTCCATTCTTTATAATTACAAGCTTTAGGCTCGTGACACGCTTCTAGAATAGACGTTAAACCATAAATGAAACGCACTTTATTTTTCGTTAAATTTCTAAAATAATAAAATGAGAATTGTTCTCTTGAATAAAATAGAATAAAATAATAAAATACAGCACTCGAAAATCTATTCTGAAAGACGTCATTTACCCAAAATTAAATAAATTAATTTTCTTCAACACAATTAAATACAAGGAAATCTGTGTACAAGTGGATATATATATTTATAAACACAAGCAAGACCGATCCTACTGAATTAGGAATAAACGCAAATTCTTACTTTCTTGAGGAAAAAAATTAGCAAAATTTTCCCAGCCTGAATAAATAAAACTTAATGGGTAGTAAAAAAATAACAACTTATTTATAAAAAATACAAATAAATAATTATTCGGTTTGATGCATAATCAGCTTTGAAACGTAGTGAATTAGTTACAAATCACTTTCACCCACACTCAAGTATATAAGAAATTCACACTTGACATAAATTACGTTTTGCTCAGGAAGGAGATGCTACCACTTGTTTGCAAGCCGCCGAGTGGTTGCAGTGACTCGACAGGTCGCCCAGAGCAAGACGGAATCAACCTAAACTAAGGATTGAGCCAATTATTTCACATATTCAGAGAACTTGACTAATTCTTGTTGGTAATCAAAATACTTAAGTTTACGAAAAGAACCTTAAGAATATAAAATCTCAAATAATAACAATATATTTATACGGACAAAAGTCTCGATTTTTATTTTTATATTTTTTATCTACACATCACAAGAGAAATCAGTTGCGTAAAATAAAGAACTCATATATATGCATATATTTATTTTTTGTTTTGTTTATATTATGAACAATATACTATGATTTTATACACATATATGCGCTCCGAAAAAGTTTTTAATAAGGCACTTTGAATCCCTGTTTTTTTGCAACCGACCCGACGAAACGATCGGGTGACATGCAACAAACCACGGAATGTATCGGGATGCGCCATTGTACATACACAACTGTGTTTTTAGTTGAATTAAATTAAAATAAATTATTAAACACAAAAAACAATATAAACAAAAACAGTTTTATTCCTTGGTATGGAAAAAAACGGGGAAAGGGAAGGGAACTTTGGTAATTATAAAAGAAAAATGTCTTCTGTTAAAATTTTTAAAAACTGCTGGAGCAGAGGAACGAGGAATGGTTTCAAGGAGATAAGAAGTAAAAAAATAAAGGGGTAGGGGTCGGGAGAGGAGAGCCTTAAACGATAACCTCACTGGGGAAGTGCATACTTGAAATAATTGGTTTGGGGGCAGAGATCCTATTGAAAACGGGCAACCTCGACTCCGGTGGCGAGGCCGGAGCAGCAGGAGGCGGTGGCGGAGAATTGGGCGGTGTGCTGCTGTATGCATATGCTGGCGGTGGTGGTGATAGTGAGCCCAAACTGCTAGGCGAGGAAGAAGACGCCGTGTGCATGTGGCCCAGGCTGCTAGGCGGTGAGGATGCGGCGTTGTCCAAAGATAGTGGACGTGGTCGAGGCTTGCTTCCTCTCGCCTCGTCGGCGTTGTGGATGAAATGGCACCGTGGTCCGTAGGGGCAGAAGCCGACAGAATGGAAAGTTCGGCAAAGTTCTGTCTTGTACTTGGGATGCCTTGCCAAGCACCTCAATTCGTGTCCTCCGTGAGCAAATTGGCATTTCTCGCCGTACTTACAAGATCCACTCTCTTCGTACGGCCTACACAGTTCCGTCTTGTATCTAAAACACAAACTACTTCTTTATTAACACGGTCAAATTCTGCCTTTAACTAAGAAATTTACAAAAAATATTGGTTCTGAGCAACAACAAAAATTTAATGTTTAAAATACAACTTCTGGATTCGGAGAAAGTTTCGTTTATTTATCACATAATAGATCTCAGTATAATAATATTGTCCTTTATAAAACTCATCTGCAGAAGAAAAAACTTTATAGAGATCGCGTGTATTGTTAATAATTATTTAAATATTTGTAAGAAAAAAAATAAAAATAAATATTTGTAAGAAAAAAAATAAAAATAAATATTTGTAAGAATAGTTTTTAATTCGTTTTAATTCATGTTTGTAAAACTTGTAAACTACTCCTAGTTCAACAATATAAAGGAGTGACTAAATTTATTTAATTACTTATGAGATAAACAGCGATAACCAATGAACAGAAATTACTTTAGTCATCAATTGATGATTTTGAACTTTGAGCTATAAAAAAAAAGGTTGGGGGAAAAAGTCCGAATTTCTTAGCTTTTTTTATATATTTCAGTATTTGAAATACAATAAACTCGAAAATGGGATATAAATTCAACGTTTTAAAACTTTTTCTGGAACTGAACTGTAAGGTACAGATCTCCGGTTCGAATGTGGCATTCGAACCCATCATACATACAAAAATGTTTTTGTTTTTTTCAAAAACACTGAACCCCGAGGGTAACCTCGTTACAAAATAACTTTCAGATCAAAGCTTTTGGGTTGATGTTTGATTGATTTGATGGTTATAAACCATTTTTTTAACTATGCTATCAGGTGCGTTTTGAAAGTGAGATTACGTATTACGACCTCAGATTTAAGTAAACCAAAAGTTCTTCGACACTTCAACACAGTGTTAAAAGAACGTGTCAGATGCGAAACTGCAACCGGAAAAAAGGTCACGTAAGTTTAAAAGCTATAAAAGATCATTTTCAAACGTTATTTCCTGATTTTCTGTTTATCAGAAACAGCATGTAACTGGTGCAACGTACAACACTACGATAACGTATTATAGCGAGATGAGTTTTGAAGACTTTCCAAAGAAAATGTTAGCAATAATCTAACATGTACATTTTTTTAACTGTGAATCAAGAGAAAGTCTGTCGCAACTGTCAAGGTCGCTGTCCAGTTTTCCAAACAAAAGATGAAACTGTTGCATTTATTTTGTTTGGTTGTGGAGTACCAAAGTAACACTAAATACAACAAAAGTAAAAGTAACAGGTTGTTCAGGAGGAAGTTCAATAAATACCCCATCACAGCAAAACATCTATGATTTATCTACATAAGCTTAGAGGACAGGCTAAAAAATAAAAATTGTAAATATTCAAATTATAATAAGATTGTCAAAACTGTAATCTAATGTAATAAATAAATAAAAACGTGTTATTGAAGAAAATAAACTAGTTATTTTAATTTAATAGGTATTATTTAGAAAAGTGTGGAAACCTTCACGGACGATATTGAGCACATAAGACTCTAAAAGAACATAAGGAAATACCGATTTATAGCCTAAATTAAAATAATTATTAAGATTTCTACATTGCATCAAATGCTTCTATATTTAAAACTGAAATACCCGATTTAGTATGCAACGGTTACAAAACAAGCCGCCAATTATAAGCTATTATAAATAAACACAAAAAAACATGAAATTATATGTTATATAACCACAAAAAAAGAAGAAGCTGGGTGGGGAATGATTATGCATGGCAGTTTAGCGTGGGACTCCATCACTCGACGGATACGTTGGGTAGTTTCCTTTAATATAATAAGTTAATTAGTGAAAGCCAAGGCCAAACATTGAACCGAGTATAATATATATAAAATTATTAAAAATGTATATTCATCGTTTTTTTGTTTTATTACACGTATTGTAAGCATCGTTTTCTGATGAAGTGGAGTCATTGTACATTAGATTAACGAAAAAACTGAGAATTACTAGGTTTACAGAATCTCCTTTATTTGTATCTATAAAAAAATGATTTGATATTATAGGAATCGAAGTGAAAATAAACACAAATGATGGCCAAAAATTATTGGCACGGTTAGTTTATTTTGTTTAAAGTGAAATGTAAATAGCGTAAACAGCCAGGGGCTGACAACAGGGAGAGCAATGGCTTTATTTTGTCAAATGTACATCAAGTTTTCGACCGCTTCTGACGCAATGGACACGGCAATACTCTCTAATTTCAAAATTGCCCATGTACTTGAACATGGCCAAAACCGCCTGCGCCTGATTTATCCTTGTCTACGACGGGGAAATTGTTTTAGAATGTTTAACCCCTGCGAATAGGGCAAAACCTGGCACAACGGGACGAGATAGATCGATACTGACAAACTTTAGCCGTCCGAGGTTTAATCGAATAGATGTCCAAACACTGGCGTTTTAACACTAGAAACTTCAGAGAGAAAAAATTGCACGCGTATTAAAAATCTTCCGTAGTATTTTCTTTGGATTTATTAATAACCAAAGGTAACAGACCAGACGATTAAGAATCAACGGTTTTTTGGTAATAACTAAAAAATCGGAAATGTCAGATTATAACGGATTTCGGTATTAACGGTGAACAAACTGGACAAAAAGAGCTTTTGGAGGATAGACAGCAATACCGAAAAAATAAATAGGCAATTGTTCTGATTTCTTCATCCCAAAAGAACCCGATACGTCAAGAATTTAAGTCATTTTACATTTTTTTACAAGAATATAATTTAATTAACAGCCAGACAATCATAATTATATATATGGATGGTGGTAAAGGCGTAGAAGTATAATGATCGTATTAGCAAAATATCGATGTTAAGTAGTGGCATTAAAAATTAAAAAATTATTGTTGTTTCAATAATTAAAAGAATATTTATGTAAGGCAGTAAATTTGTTAATATACTTTTAATGTTTATTAGGTGGCTATTATTGTACAAAGATAGAATGCCTATTTATATTATTTCTAGGGCATTTTAGTCACGGTATAATCGCCATAACAAAAACAATGGAAAATGGTTGGGAATTATTCGTAAAACCTCACACCATGTAGAAAATACGATGGAAAAAGCTTGCGTCACTAATAAACCGACTAAGTTTGAATTTTCTCAAAACAAATCTCAAAACAAATCATTTATTATATCATCAAGAATAAGTATTGTTTTGCCTTTTTTTGATGGATGGTTAGTATATTTTGTCCCTTGCAGACATACGGTCCGGATGTTTAGAAATGAAGTTTTACCAATTAAGTCTATTCCGTAAGTATGTTTTCTTCGAAGAAAAAAGAACCGAACGTAAACATTTTTTAAGCGCCATTCCTCTCATTTCCCCTTCTCGCAAACGTAGCAACAAAACTTCAGGATTCCCACAAAACGTTAAACAATGACTCATCGAATCGGCAATATTCCATCAAATAGAAATCGGTGTTTCACAGACAACCTGACATCACCAAACCTAAAAAAACAATACGCAATCGCATTTTGAACTTTTTACAGCGATTGCATTCGGCAATAAGAATGAATTTGAAACACAGTAGGTAAAAATACAATTTTAAACAGCCAACAGGGGTCAATAATCGAATGTTTTGTTACGTATACTACAAAACTTTTAAAAATTTAAATCAAATCGATTGACTCTTTAAACAATCGAGACCATCTTCACCACATACAAATGACCCTAAGACCCGATATACATTGACCTACTGTCCAACAATCCGTGCATTGCCATTACAGGATCTTTCAAACATTTTCAATGATTATTTGTAAATTACTCTACCAGGATCTCGAAAACGACAATTTACAACAGATTTCTCTAGATCGCACAGGAAACGGGCCTACTGTTTACAAAAAATACTTTATCTGATGAAAAATTATCTTTAAATTAACAGGAAAGCTTTATATTCAGTTATCAAATAGGAAATCCCTTCCACTGGCCTCTGCTATAACGTTTTATCACCAAAAACCTTACTCAACATAATATGATCGGTAATGTTGGTAACGTAATTTCAGGAAACGGAAAATTTCCTTTAAGCAAATGTAATTGTTTTTTAAATTTACATAAAAAAATGGTAACGAACCCCTAATTCAAGGCAAAAGGTAGATTTAACCCATCGGTTTCTACGTAATTTCTATTTCTTGTAAGCCTCAGATTTCAAGGACTATTTTAGTGGACAGAAAGACACTTTTTAAAATCCTTAAGAAAAATAATACACATTTATAAATCCAGTGGGAGACCGTATCGCCTCCCGAATCCTCTTTAGAATTTAAATTTAAAACTGAACCAATATTTTTATATATATTTATAAAGGAGAAGGGCATACCTGGAGGTGTTTACGTTCAGGGCAGGGGCTTTGGCTGGTTCAGATTGAGTTCTTTCCAAACGTCTGTGTTGATTGTTAATATCCAAAAGAAAAGAAGTCATAAGAGATAGTGTGTTTGGTGATCTTCCATTGATAGAATCGCCTTCACTACCCGTCTCCCAAGCGAGTTTTCCAGCTTCTGGCTGTTGCTGCTGAAAAGAAAAAAAAGAATGTTATTAAAGAAGGTCGTTAAATCGTATTAAAAAAATTCTTTATCGATTTTTCCTTTTTTCAATGATGTTAAATTAACAAAAAAAAGTGAAAGATACAGGTAGGGGCCATGGACCTCAGGTAAACACGGCTTTGGCAAGGATCCCTTCTAATCTTGGCCCCTCTTAATTTATACTCTTGGATCCCTTTGAATGGCTATCACATAATTTAAAATGGCCTGTGCCTAACGGGTAAAGTAAAAAAAATATTTTTTAAGAAAGTACAGAGTTCCATGTAGGAAGCGAGCAGGCCAACGCTCGATTCTTTCGTGGAACTTTCTCAGCACTTTCATAACAGACGATTACCTCAAGGAGAAAGGGGACGTCATTGTCTCTTTCTAATAAAAACTTCTTCTCACTGCATCTGATATAATTAAGGACGTCGGCTATATACAAATTTATATAGATATAAAAAACCTTTGCGCAATTTTTCGATGAAGTGAAATTATAAAAAAACTGACAGAAGGGTTAGATAATAAAATCGATGACATGTTTTATCATAAGCATGAAACATCTTGTGCACGTACGGTACGCATTTGCCAGAATTGTTTTTGTGAATATTCAAGGTTTCACAAGTAAAGAAAAATTCGTAAAAATGTTTCTTTTTTTATAAAAATACTATCGATACGTTAAAAATAAAAATTGTTTTATTTGAATAATAAATAATTGTTAACAATAACCCAACTAAAATACGAAATAAATAAAGGCACCGTTCAAATCTTACTGGATTCAATGAAATACATTTCTTTTTTTTTTTTTTTTTTCAGTTAGTTATTTCTTGTATGTAAAATATTGTTTAATTTCTTGTTAATAAAATCCTTTGAAAAATTTTCAGCTTGGAGCAAATATATTTATACGTAATTTTTTTTAGTTTTAGCTGTTCTTAGTTTTTATCTTTCGAACTTTTAAGAATAGTACACTCGGTGGCATTATCATTAATTAATTTCGATACGACCCGGCACCCGAGTTATTTTCAGGTTTGTCAGCCCGGAAAAACTTCTACATATGACTCAACGAAACTGAATAATTAATTTTCGACACAGAAATGACTCGTGATTGAGCCACAACATATTTTCATAGCCCCTTTATGATGCGATTATGATTCATAAAACAATTTCACTTGTTAACAATCGAACTGTGAATTTTGTTTGAGCAACCGGTGAAATTTGGACGAATTCGTAGGAATCTGTTGTTTTTATTATTTTTTATAAAATGGGGCAATTTAAATTTTTGACAGACCTGCCGACCTTATTTACGGTTTTGTAACGGAAACGCGCCAATTTTCATATAGGGGCGGAAATTTTACCTGGACTTGTAAAGCAAGATATGGAATGAACATATCTATTAACTGTTTATTAATAGCTGCCATTTCGGAAGAAGGAACTTCGCTCGTCTGTAGTTGATAGCAAACTGAAGAGAAAAATAAGAAGCGAACTGTAAACAAGGGATAAAAATAGTATTAGTCAAAATCGATTTTCTGTTTTGAAATTTCGAACTTTGTTCCTTTGTAACAAGAGGCAGCATAGAAAACATGCAGTTATCAAGAGAAGTCGTATCAAAAGAATTAGAAGAGAGTTTCGTAAGCTCAATCGATTTCGCCCCCTCGGAACGGGTTCGAAAAAGCTTCGGACGCTTTCACTAAAAGGCGTAAACAAAAACGCGGGAGCCCGCAATCAGGAAATTTTCGTCTCAAGGGAGCTTTCCAATTAAGCAGATTTCTCCACAGCTCGGCTTTCAATTAGCGCAAAAACCGTATTTCCATTGTGAAACGGGTTTCAAATGTGTCCGGAAATTTCAAAAGGGGCATTATCCACTTTTGGAAAAAGCCTGGGGGAGGAGGGAGGGTGGCACCAGCTACGAAAAAAAGATCGTCAAAACTCGAAAAAGCCTTAGGCCTAGGATATACCCCTGGCCATAATTTTTTTCCGGCCGGGGGTTGACAGCTCTTTACCTGCGCGTCCCTAAGACCTGGCATTGTCCCTGGGACAACAAAGGGGAACGCAGGTATCTGCACCGGAGGACTACGAGGGAGTAAAAACTGGCATGTGCTTTTCAGTAAATCAAAGGGAGAATCATGTGAGGTAACAGGTGGCCAACACTTGTAGACCCCTGCCCACGAAACCCTAAGCTAAAAAAAAATCTATTTACAAACATAAGAGGGCAATTTATAAGACGAAAAAAATTAATTCGAATTCTTCAAAAACATAATTTTATAAAATTGATTTAATTTACAAACCATCTTAGCACAGCTAGAAGAAAAAATCTCAAATTTGAAACTTGTCAAAAATTTATATGTCGAAACGTTGACATGAGACATCGATCTTAAACATCTGTGGCGGCAAAGTCAAAGGATGAACGTCCATTTACTTTAAGTCAATTTTAGCGAGTTTTAAAAATTTATTAAACTTGGTAATAAAGCAAGTAGACGATTTCTTGTTGTTTTTTTAAGCAAGATTCTTGATAGAATTTTACGGTACGGTATTTTATCGGTGGCACGATTTTATTGCATACAGTTGGTTTTCAAAGATTTTTTTTTAAACAAAAAAAATTTATTTATATATATTTTTTTTTTTTTTGGGGGGGGGGATTTCTTGATTATTGTATTCGTGAAGCCTAAAGAGAAGACTGCCAACGACAAAATGGGATTTGCTTTTATGCTGGAACACGTGAACCCCCTCGGTTCCCATTGTTTTCATGTTGCCGCAACTAAGACGCAATACGGGATCGTGCACGTGGTGGGCAACTAAAGTTCAAACAAATAACCGAAATTTTAAGTATTTTTCAGATTTCAATTACAAAATTTTAGTTGTATAAAAGGGAATTTCTTGAATGCGTTTGTAAATAAACATCGGGCGGAATATTTAAACGCGTACCGTGAGTTTGATATCGTCGGGATTTACGTAAGATGATTTTTGGTGGGAAAACGCAAAAAAGGTTTCGTTTTGAAATGTTTTTCAAATTTTTGGGAAGATGTACCTTGAGAACGCTGTAGCCAATGTCAGTGTAATCGTACATCATTGATGACGGCATAACGGCAGCAGACATTGTAATCCAAGGATAAGTTTTGACACTTCACACGCGGCGATGGGCACAGGCAACAGTGTAGACGTGTTGTAACATGGGACTGATATCCTTTGGCCCGGTAGCGAGCGGCCGTTCGACTGACTTCCTTTTGGGACGGCTTGGAGCTCCAACTCGGAGCGGGGGGGAGGCGACCTTGTCTCCCCTCCTTTTTTTAGGGGGGATACCACCATAAAAACTCTTCCTAGACAGAACCACTTCACTTTTGATTTCGTTTTATTTCACTTTCTTGCGGTTACGCAACGGCTTCGCGCTGCGCGGCTCGGGGCCGCCTTGTAATAATTTTTCGGCCTTTTGGAGCAGTTACAAAACAAGAGCGCCCCGGGTCTGCTCGCTCTGGGCTGACAAGGCCCTTTTGGACTTTTGGAGGGATACGGTGTACGCCAATTGGCTCGCCGTTTGTCGAAGACGAAATCAAAAAAATATCATCTCGACGCGCCGCGGACTTATTTTAACGGTCAAGGGTTCTCCTTCTTAAGGCTTTTCATTTTAGTAGTGTGTGTGCAGTTTTAAATCATTTTCGGTAGAAATGGTTTGGTAAAAAGGCAACTGAAAAACAGCGGTCTGTGTGGAATGGAAAATATTAGGAAACGTATCTGCATAAATACTGAAATCTTAAATACCGTAGATTAGACTATGATTATTGTTGTAAATAATATAACGTTGAGTAATTATGTAATTATTATTAACAAATCCACATAATAAGAAAAAGTAGTTTTTATCAAAGAAATTTCTTCTTATTTATCCATTTAATTTTTTTTATTTTATTTTTTAAATGTAAGTAAATATTATTCTAGTGCCAAAAATGTTCATGTTTTAATTTGTGAACATTGAAGTGAAGCATTTATTTTTTGTCTTTTATCAGGACCTAATCTCAGCCTAATCTAGACCTAATCTCTTCTGAAATAGATACAGTCGGTTTAGGCGTTGACACGCGCTCATCTCTATAAGGTAAAAGTCCCAGGTTCGAATCCAGCGGGCCTGCATTCGAACCAGACATACTTATAAATTGGCTTTTTCTCAGTAACACCGGCACACTATGCACCTGGTATGACCTTTGCTGTTGCGGAAAAACAGGGAAATTACAATGTTTTATATAAAAAACTGATTTCTTCTTCTTCCCTGACCGACTCCTCCATAAATAAACAGGGGAATACATTGTCGTAGATAAGAAAAAAGTGATTTTTTTCTTCTAATCGGGCTGTCTCCTCAACAAATAAATAATAATAATAATACTGTGTCTATTTCAGAAGCATTAATTATAACACACTACAATGTACAAAAATTAAAACATGAATATTTTTGGCACACACTACAAAAATATTTACTTACATTTAAAAAATTAAACTAAAAATAATGTGTGGTATTTATTATCATTTGGGGTAGTGAGAAGCTGTCTGGTGTGACGTAGGTTAAGAAAAACAATTTTAAAAAAATAAGAAGAAATTTCTTTGGTAAATAGGTTAACTCAATGTAGACTTGTTAATAATAATTATATAATTACACAAAGTTACATTATGTGCAACAATAATTTTTGACTAATCTAAGATATTTAAGATATCTGTATGTTACAATGTACATAATCTCACATTAGATAATATGTGTAAAGGGTTTGGAAGAATATCGGGTATTCCACCACCCTATATTGAATAGAATTTAAATAGGAAAGAATGTGCATTTTTTAAACAGTTTTGATATTTTTAAATATTTATTTATAAATGATTGGCAAGTCGTCTGACGACTTACCACCGTTATCTTTGTATGCTTTTTCAATTAAAAAAAATACTATTAGATTAAAGTATTTATTTATTCATTTCAAATTTGTGTAATTATGCAGTTGAGTAATTATTTAAAATTTAGTATCATGATTCACTCCTTGATGGGAATGATTTATCGCCCTTTTTGAGAATTTTTCTCTGAACAAATTGTTATGTAGCATGTTTGCTTCTGATTTATTTTTAATGAAAATATCACAGGAAAAAGCAGAAGTAATGTAGAAAAATTCTAAAAAAGTGTTTGGTCAAAGAAAATCCCCGAACAACGGTTCGAGAACTTGCAGAGAACCTTTCAGTTAGCAAATCGACCGACAGCTGACCACTCTAAGGCAATATTGGAAAGATGCAAAAGCTCGAAAGTTGAGTTACTCATGTATTATTCGACCGCCAAAAAAATCACATCAAATATGTGTGGTGATTAGTGACCGTTAATCGATATTTATTTAGAAATCGTGAGATGCGGTCTGGTGTGATGTAGGTTTCAGAAAAACATTTTCTTTATCGTGCCAACGTTTCGATCTTTTATTGAGATCATCTTCAAGGCCTGGGATTTACAAACAATGTTTACATGTAACAAATACATTTAGGCTGTGGAAAATATATATATTTTACATTGTATAAATTCACTTTTCCACATCCTAAATGTATTTGTGATGAAAAGTGAATTCTATACGATAAGAGTAGACGTTCCTGACAGTGGCTCGACAAAGGAGAAGCAGGACCACATTTTCCAAAGCTCCCAACTGATCAAAAAAAGTAACGGTTACTATGGTTGGCTTAATTTTGGCTTATTTACTACTACTTCTTGAATACTGGCGAAACAATCAATGCCGAAATGTACTGATCTCAAATTGAACCAATGCATCAAAAATTGGCATTATTCAACCCATTTTTGGTCAATCGGGGAAAAATAAAAAAACGATTCTCCTACACGCAAAAGCTCTACACATGTCTCAGATGTGATAACACGAAAACTGTTCGATCTTGGTGATGAGATTCTGCCTACCATTTTTCAGATACTTGGACAACATTTTACAACATAAACAATTTATTGATCAAAAGTCATTGAAAAATGTTTTTACAAATTTGTTAATAATAAAGATGCAACATTCTATTCAGCGGGTATAGAGATCATGCCATCACGTTGGGAGAAGTGTATTGAGAGTGATGGAAGATATTTTAATAAATAGAAAATATGTAATTTGATTTATTTACTTGTTTATATTTTATAACCATAAATCTACATTGTTAGTGTTTATAATTTATTTGGAGAATGTTAACAGCTATAAAAAATATTTGTAAAAATATATAATTAGTGTATTATGATTTCTCACTTTTGATAGATTTGTCGCAATTTTTGATAATTAGATTATTTACGCTACCGTTATATTACGTTAAACGTGTCATTATGTTACTAGGAATATACGTGTACTAACTACTAAAGCCACAATAGTTTACTTACCAAACTAGAACTAAGAAAAGTAGCTACTAGAAAGAAACAGAAAAGTAGAAACAAGCTAAATTGAAAAAGGTATCAGGATAAAATTCAATTCCATCCAACGCTTTCCAACAAGGCACTTTTAATTATAAGTAATTAAGCCCTTTTAACTAACCTTAACTGATTTAAACCGAATTAATAGTTTAATCATTTGACAAACTGATAAACACTTATTTTATAAAAATAAAGTATTATCTTGGGAGAAAATGAAAAAAATTTTTGGAAAGTTATTATTTTTTAAAGTTTATCAAAATGATATCAAAACATTCAGCAGGTATTGTTATTATTCCAAATTGAAAAATTTTGTAAAATATTTCTTGTTTTGATATTAATTTGATGAGAAAAATTAAAAGTAATATATTAAATGATACTTATTGTATAAAATTTTACAAAACGACCGTTGTATCTGATCATAAATATTTCAAAATCGTTGTTCTAGATCTAGTCGTAAATACATACACAAATACCTACAATCCAAATTGTTTATTTACACGTTGAAATTTTTGCCTAGAGAAACTGATAAATAATACAACACTATTTACAGTCCATTGAACCTATTGGACTGTTATTTTATTCAGCACATACTTTACCAGCGATGAGAGGTAAAGAAAGGTACAAGAATAATAAAATTATCTCCCTGCTTTTACTTTTTTTAAACTGAAACAACGTGTTTTCGGGCGTGTTTAGGCAATGTGTTTATTCAAATGTGTAGGGTATCACATTTGACCATGTAAACAAACAATTTCGGTTGTAATTATTTTGCTATTTTAGTCCGGCTCTTTTGTAACAGGAATGTTCCTCTTCTATCAATGAAAAATTAAAAAATGTATTTTCTTCAATTGCACGGATGTACAGGCACTAATTTGTATCGGAATAATGGACTTTTTACTCGTATCTCGAAAATAAACTCAAATAGATATTTCTTGCCGAACATGAATTTGTTTACAATTAGTTTTAATCTTCACATCATAAAGTAATAAAATATGGGTTTCCCAGTAAATGGAACAAATCAGAAGTAATCCTTAGGAGCAGTCTACTATACATAATATGTTTTTTTGTCAGTGAGCTGTTAACTTTTCCTTTTTGTACATCCCTGATAATTTTTCATTTTTCTCCTCCAATTCTCGCTGTATCTTTCAATCAGACAATACAGCAGTCGATTAAAAAAATATATATATTTCAGCAAGTGTTAAATTTATAGGAAATTTTAGACCAGACAAGTTCATTTTATTGCGTCTTTCCTCCTTCTCACTTTCATTCGGACACGTCAGCAGACTTCCGCTGAAACAAGGCGCCAGATCCTAAACTACTAAAGAACAGTGAGCCAGAGTCTGTTAGCCAAAACCGAAAGGGTTTTTCGATTGTAAAAGAAAAACCAAATTACGCTATGATTTTTTTTATAATGAAAATTAGGCCGTAAAAACGAGCCTTAGCTTAGCATTTTAGCCTGCAACTGACTTACGTCCAAAAATGTCTACATTTGACACAATCCAAGCTACATAGGGCATAGAGAATAATTTTACAAACTCTCAAGAAAAATGAATAAAATTTTTCACCGAATAAGCTTTTTCCATCAATTTGAAGAAAATGGATTCTTTCATATATCTAATTTGAGAAACCTGATAAACAACTGCTATAAAAAATTTGAATGCTTCCGGGGCAATTTATTTTAACAGCCATGAAGTATTACTAGGTAAAGCTAGAAGAAAAAATATTTTATGAATTTATAATTAATTAATGAAAAAAATCAATACGAACATGAAAAATGAAAATCCCTCCTTTGCCCCCAATCAACTTGTTTGATCGTAATTTTCACCCAAAACT